TTTTTTCTCGATGTGCGCGTTATGGGGATGTTCGTGCAGAATTTATGTGCTTGTTCGTGTGAAATTAAGGAGGTTAAACTTCGCAAATGGCGAATGGTGTAACAAATGCTACCGCGTTTTATATATTCTATATGTTTCTGTGCATTTATATTTCTCGTTAAACGTGCACTATCTGTTAATCGTAACTGGATGATTGAATTGTTATTATTTTTTATTCATCGCTAGTTTCTGGAATTGGAATTGAGAATTTTTGGACTTCTAGAACAACGTCACCGAATTTTGATTTACGATTTACGTTTGTTGTGTGGACATTTGCGGAGGTTTGTATTTTCGCGAATGATAAAAGGACGATAGCCATATTTCAATAGCAGTAAATCATTCTGCAGATTTAAATGTAGCTACGAAAACATTACATCATTGCATTTGCGTTTTATATTATTAGATGATAATGTCCTTTGCTGAAATTTAAACATACAGTAGTAGCTACAAAAATCGTTCGCAGGCCATTATACTTCTTCACGTATAATATATAAAAATTAATCTCACACCACGTTGATGAAAGATTGCCTCTAAAGATTGCAAATTAAAAGAATATATGCATTTCTTTATATATATATTACATTATATATTGTATTATATTTATTATACATTTCACATTGCGCTCTATACTTCGCAAAGGAAGAAAATCCTCCGAGAGTCACTTGAGAAAACCCGCTTGTATCCTCCGCCCTTCCAATCCGAATTTCAAACAGCCAATCACAAATCGTCTCGCCAGGCAATTCACGCTGGATTAACATGAATATTTACACGCGTGTACGAGCCATTATGTGGGACGAATACTTTAAACATCGTGCATGCAAGATAGAGAGAGGGAGGGAGAGTTTCGAGGAAAAGGTCTGCGTTGATACTTGAAAACGTCAGTGGCCTCGTATCGCAAAGACGTCATCGCGGGCATTAGAAGGCTCGAATCGACGTGTCGCGCACTTGAAGATCAGCAGGATCCTCGAGAGCCCTCTCGATAGAGGGTGGAAGGGGGCCAGCTCTTTGGCAGAAATTCACGAAACAACCGGCCCTCTGTGCTTTCGCCTGGCTCTGTCCTTTCCCCCCGTTTCTCGCCGCTAAGTGGAGGGAGAGCTGCACTTTTGTTGCTTGCATCCTTCCTCGAAGCAACCAATTCGCTCGAATATTTGCTCGGCGGATTGAAACGTCGTGGCTTCCTCGAGCTTGGGGCTTGATTCTTCGAAAACTGTCGACGAGTTGAAGCTTTCTTCTGTTATACTCTCTCGAGTGGAGTTGATCGTTAATGCTCTCCGAAGCGGAAGATCGATCATCCTTAATTGGTATCGTTTGGATTGGCATTGGTGATCACGATACGGGTTTTGCAGTGGGTTAGCTTTGGAGTAAAATCGACGATTAAAAGTTGAAGTTGATATTTGGAATGTTGATAAACGTGCGAAGGAAAGAATTAAATAGAACATTATTATATTGTATTATATGTAATACATTGCGTAAAATTTATATTTCTTATGTTTTACTCATTACGTGAAGGATATAAGAAATATATTATATTTACGAATTGTTAGTTATTTTTATTTTCTACTCTTTTGTACATGTTCGGTGTTATATATTGTAAAAGAAGATACCCAAAGTTTCTAAATTACTTGAATTAACAAATCTAGCCTAATCTGTCGTAATCATTCGTAATTCAACGATGCTACAGTTGTAAATTATGTTAAATTCATTCTCGACTGAAAAGTGACACTGAGAAAAGACCGAAAAAAAGGAGAGAAGGACACTTTACTTCACTTCACTTCATTTCTGTACTGTTCTATAGTTTATTGTTAGCACATAAATCTCATTTTTTGGTTTGAAAAGCAAGTTTCTTTCATGATCAACGCATTGACAGAAAAAGTGATCGAGAGCGTTTCTTTTGGATTTCTATTTTTTTTTTTTTTTTTTTTTTCTTTCGGCGACTTCTAATGTTAAGTGCCTTTTTTTTCCTACTAGGAAGAGTCCTTTTAAGGTCATCCATCTTCTGTCCGCTCTCGTAAATTTTGAGAACACACTCTGGCCAGGAATTAAAATTTCTCGTTGTAATTTTTACTGTTCCTGCGTATAAGGGACAAGATCTTTAGATTTGATCTGATTATCTTTACTCTGGACGATTAATACTAAGAACTAAGATTGTACGCTACATAAAGTAACGGAACTTGCGAGTTTCAATTTTATTTTATTAACGCGATAAAAATAACGAAATTCGACGTTCAAAAACGTGACGAAGATCTCACAGTTTTGGATGATAGATTAAGAATAATTCGAGATCCTAAAAAAAATGGTAAATATTTCAAATATTCCGGGAAGTTACGAGCAAGTGAAATTTCCAAATTTCGAAGGATAATAAAAATACTCGCGTTTCGCCGAAGTTATGAAAGCTTAGAAGAAAAAAACATAAGACGAGTTACTAGCCAAGCTCACTTTCTTTCTCTGCCGATTTTCTCGATCTTACGAACTTCAAGAACCAAAAATCAAGACTCGAAAACTAAAAAAGAAACGCTATAGAACTTACCAACGAGAAAAATTGCTTCGCGTAATAATTAAAGAGTAAAATTGTATTAGAAAAAAAAATTTCTTAGAAGAAACGTGATACTTCTTTCTTCATTATTTTTTAACAGAAAACACGTGCGTGAAAACCCCCCATATAAATCCCTAACCTTAACCTTGATCTTTTGCCTCGAGTCTCTCCCGTCAATCGAAATCAAAGGTTCGAAAATCGGCGACACTCCTTCTCAGCGTTCAACGTTCAAACATTGCAAACGCAATTATCCTCGTATCGTCCTGATAACTCCACGGTTAGGAAACGCGCCGGTTGTGCCGCTCGTATTTCCCCGTCACGGATGAAAACGGGCCGGTGGTATGAGAATCTCGCAGACGATTCCTCGTTTTACGTTTCTGCATCGGCTCGTCTGGATGCACAGCGGAGGATCCGGTCGTCGGAGGAAATAAAGGCGGGCCACGGAGGGGTCTTGAGGAAGAGCCCAGAGGGGTGGGTGGGAGTGAGTCTGCGATGGAGAGCCACTCCTTTCGAACAGGGTCTCGCGCTGAGTGCGCTGGTAAAACAGCCCCTTAAAATGGTTTTACTGCCGTGCACACGGGGCGCAACGACGTCTAGACGGGCAGGGCAGTAAAGTTTGACCTACTCACCCCCAACCGCCGCGCGAAAGGAGGCCGTCAGCCGGTTCTCTCCGTTTCCCTCTCTGACTCCTTCGGCGTCCCTTAAACCTGGCCGCGTTTCTCGCGGACCTTGAAAACTGGGCCAAAGGGTCTCCGAGCTTTCCTTCTCCCTTCTTCCGTTCGGCGGGATTCCCATCTCTACCCCGGGAGAGTATGTTTCGTTTGTTCGATAACGCGAGGGGTGGAACGTGATGGAAGATTGGAGATGACTTTATATAGGCTCGATATACTCTGTAGGGCTATTGGATTGGCATGGGCTGAAATGGGGAGTGAAAAAGAGTCTTTGATATCTCGACGATGCGCGTATCGAATATGCGTCCCTCACGATTTTATCACGGAAACAGCATAATTGTAAATCGTAGAAATTCGAAGTTTTACGTGTGTAATAAATCGTTATAAAATTCTATTCGCATTGGAAAATTAGATCCACCATGGTGTTGAAGATTGAAATCTTCTCCTTAGAAAGCACCCCTTAGAAAGTCGCTGTGTGATTTTGTTTTTAATTTCGTTGAATTTTGGATATTGAAATTAGACGACGATGTATTAGGATTTCCTGAATTTAACTAATATTCAACTTTCAGTAAAATGGTGAGAGAAAATCAATACAAGTTTCAACAGCCGAGTTCAATCTTCCAAATGATTATTGATTTAGTCATGAAAGTTTTTGTTTTTCCAATTTTTGAGAAAAAAAAAGGAAGCATCCCACTTCTTCCACCTGCTGAATAAAATCATCTTCGAAAAAAAGAAAGAACTGTCGTGAGTCGTATCAAAGTAGAGTCTTCAAAATGGGATCAAGTCGACCTCAGTTGAAATTGCCGATAATTTTTCATTGTCATTGGTTTTCAATTATACTCTTCGCTGTAAGTGTGAGTCAAACAAAGACGGTATATCACAGAGGAAACGACCCGAATTTGATTGAATTCTCCGCGTCTCCCTCTGTCCAATTTCAAAATCGAGTGATTGTTTGCTCAATCGTTACGCGTGCTTTCGAACTGATGAAATGAAATTTGGTGGTTAATAGCGAACGGGGAGACTCTAAAAAATCGAATGAACAATAGCGGTACACGCAGCGCGCAAATCCGGTGATAGTAATCAAACTTTTTTAATATCCTGTGGAGAATCAAACGACAGGGTCATAGCGGGGAAAAAGAGGGACCAGAAAAAGAAAGAAAGGAAGAAACAAAGAAAATATAGGAAAAACAGGGAAAAAGAATTTTCCTTTTCAATATTTATGCGCGCCAGATATACACTCGAATAATATTTGCCGCTCTATCGATGTTCAAATTTCATTTTGTTTCGACGTTTCTTGCTCACCTTCCGGCATGATACGAACGTAATATTTAGGAAAACATATTGTTTAAAAAGAATGGAGAACGGGTCTCGGGTATCGCGCAGTCGATCTTCTTTCACTTCCGTTCGCCGGCAATGATCGAAACAAATTTTCTCCTCGTCTATCTTTTTCCTTCGTCGAAAATATCGTGGGTGTTATATGGTTTTATTGAAAAATCAGACGGTAATACACGAACTAATTTATTTTCATCGACAGTTGATTTGAACTGGTACTATAAAGCATCCTCCACTTTTTTTTTGTTAGTTTAATTATGCCTTTTCGCGCTGAATTTAAATGAGTATGTTCTCTTTTATTGTAGTAACGTGGATTTTAAAGAATCGATTTGTCATTGACAAGCAAAATATAATACGTTCTAGAATGAATGAGTATTTAATCCATTAAGATCCAACATTTCATTTGCAATTCTTCTCAATTAAATTATATTATCAAATTCTATTTTCTTATATTTAATGAACAACTCTAAATATATCAACATTTAAAATATTGAAAACTTAAATTATTAAATATCACAGTTACGTCCCCGCCGAGTGCTTGAAATTTTGCAAAATTTCAAGAATTGAACTTTATTCGCACAAGAGATGTTCAATGCAAATTTTATTCACACACATGGGAGATACCAGTATTTTCAATTTTTTTTTTTATCACCCGTTGTATGTATATATAGATCACAGATTGAGTACGTAAAGATCAACGGGAGAATTTGTTAACCAGCGTTATTAGCGTTTCGAAGGGTAAAGGATAAATTTTGGGGATCACATGGACGAGATAACAGTGGAATTACGAGGTCCTCTTTAACCAAGCCATAACCATCCCTCAGACAGCGCATCTCGGACCTTGAAAACTGGGGCAAAAGGTTGCTTTCACCCCCTACGTTACGAACGGAGGAGGGTCGTAACGTTGTAGGGGTGCTCGACCCTTCAAGGAATTCCACTTTGAACCGCTGGTATCTTTATTGGAAAATAGATTGCAGTCAGATTCACGATTCCTTTCTTTCTCTTTCCTCTCCTTCTTTTTTCGTCTTTTTTTTTTTTTTTTTTTTTTGGCTTTCTACCCCATCGTATATTTTTTTCGACAATCGTTATTGAAAAATTCATTCGCATTCAATTTTTTCTTCCTTTTGGTTTTCCGAAATTCGATAAAAAAAAAATTCAAACGCCGTACGTCATTTGAGATACATCACGCGTAGAATGTAAAATACGTAGAAAATTGATGGAACAAAATTGTCCAAATTAAACAACGCGAGACTTTACTTTAGAATTAGAATGGTTGAACTGTCTTGAATGAATCCTTGCCGGTTCCTTAACCTCGCCACACCATTGACCTTCGAAACTGGGCTAGAGAGGGTTCTCTTTCCCCTCGACGCACTTTGCGGTGGGTCGTAACATCGAAGGGGTGTTCGACCCTTGGTAGAATTTCGCCTCAGACGTCTCGGGATATTTCCATCGGATTACAATTTAAAGGGAATCTTCGTTGAAATTCGAACGCGCCGCCCCCAACGCCGGGAATTTTCCCTTTGACCGCCGCTCCACTTTGTACCGATCCGTCAAACAATCGTTCGCCATTGTACGAATTCCAATTGCATCCGACGATCTCAGTTGGCGACTGAAATCGAAGATCGATGCTTTACTGTTCGTTTTGCATACTGGTGAACTGGTTAATTTGAAACCTGAACAGTTAGGATGACGCCAAATTTCATTCAATTATAATACAGTGACTCGCGAAAGTATTCGAGGCGCTTAACCATAGAATAACTTTTCGTCAAAATTACTTGTAAGATACATTGAAATTTTATTAACATTCCGTCAGGTAATTATCGTGATTGATAAAAATCTGGAATTTATTACTAATAATAATCAGTTGTGAGAAAATTACAATTACAATTATAGTAAAAATTACAAAATGAGTAAAATGAGTGTAAAAGATAATCCTATTGAATATTGCAGCTTATTGAGGTGTTTTTGTGATTTCTACGAAATAAATATTTCTATAAAATTTCTTCTAGATATCGTTCAAATTTGACACTCACATCTCATTACACTTATATAATATTTATATACAACATATTCATAAAAAGTTTCTACGACTGTTCGAACACTTTTGTGAGCACACAATCACAGGTGTATAATTTAATGAACAATTAATGAGATACAGATACCTTTTAAAATTAACAGTTTCGAGATGTAACCAGATGTAATTCTAAATTATTTCAGAGAGGGAACATTCACGAATGTAATTAATATTCAGGAGTTAATATTCAACACATGTACCTGTATTTAACTTGATAGTGTAAAAAGTAAATGAACAATTGAGCGAGTGAACAAGCGTTGCAGGCGCGTTCTAAAATTAACAGGCGAGTTTAAAATCTGGTTGGCACTGGCGCTGAATTATTCCGCCGAAAAAACATTTCGACAGGTTGTAAAAAAATTTGCGAAAACTCTGCGACGAGAAAGTGGTAAATATCATTTTGCAAAAAGTTCTCCAGCTCGTTGATACCGCGCGTGTGTACCAAGTGTGCCGAGTCCGCTTCCCCCCAAATCGACGCGTAAAAAAATTACGTTTCTGAAAATTATTTGAAAAACCGGTTCTTTTGAGATGCGTACGTTCGCTGTCCGGTCGGGTCGCTCTCTCTCTCCAAATTAAAATATTTCGCTGCTACGAGCGAAATTATGGAAAGTTGCTCGAACGAAAAAAAAAAAAAAAATAGACACCTGTAAAATACACGGTGAAAAATACACGATAAAGGTATCTCTCGTGTCTGGGGGAAGAGGTGGACTGTTTTTCGAACAACGTGAGGGATAATCAACCCTTTAAATTCTGTAAATTCCTTCACGCTCGTCGAAGAAACACAAGTGCAAAGGAAATATAAAAAGTTGGACAGAAATTTATAAACAATATTCATTTTCTTCTTTCTCAAAGAGAACACATCATACGTAATGACGATATTTCTCGCATCTGGAGTACTTCTCGTGAATCCTTTTGCGTACGTCAAAGAAACAGATACATAAAAATCTTCAACTAATCTTTATTTTGTACTTTCTCAAAGGAAAATACATAATGAAGATATTCCTCGTGACTGGAAAGAAGGTTGAACGATTTCGAACGTAGGGGTAACCAACCTTGTGATTTCTTTCACATCCATCAAGGAATTTGATGTAAAACAATCATACAGACCTTTACAAATAAGCTTCATTTCTTTCACTTTCACTTTTCTCTACATTTAAGGAGGAAAAAGAAGAAGAATTCCTTCGTGTGTATTGAAAAAACGAAGACTCGAAAGAAATAAAAATTCAAAGATAGATAATCTTCATTTCGTTCCTTCTTAAAATAATTGGATAGTAAAATTGACAGACAGATTTTACGAAAACAGATGGAACAAACTCTTTTTAAAATTAATTGTTTAGGTAATTCCTCGAAAAAAAAAAAAAAAATTCTTTATGTCCATCATAGAAACAAACGCGAGATGGAAAACTGAAATCCATGCTCAATCTTCATTTAATTTCTCCTTGAAACGAAAACGAAATCCTTGCTTTATTACAACGCAACCAATTTTCGGAAACTGAGCTCAAGATAGAAAAAAAGCAAGAGAGGAAAAAAAAATGTAATTACTCGTCTCCTTCAGAAGTTTTCACTAAACATCGTTAACACGTTTCGTCAAGGAGTGCACGAGAGATTTTTCTGAAAAAAAAAAAAAAAAAAAAAAAAAGAATATCCTCGCTTTTTCGACCACATGAAACAACCTTCCATTTACAGTTAAACCAATGGGAAATTATTATTCGTTTCTTCGTTCGTTGGCAGGTTGTACTCTTAATTAATCATTCCGAAGAATGGTCTGTAATCGCCTTACGATGGATTAATGGATCTGCCAGCTGCCACGAGGAAAGCTCTGTTTTATTATTTTTGTCGCTTCCAATCGAGCTACATCGAGCACACGGTCTTTTAAATTGTAGTTCCCTCTGAGTACGCTAAACGATGGAGAACGGTCGAATTCTTCTGACTATCCTAACGATCTTCGTGGTCGTCGTTAATGGACGAGTTTATTATTTGCCGACTCTGGACGAGAATCGATACGCCGACTTGACTTACCCTGTTCCGAATGAGCAATCTTCGCGGGATTTGGATCTGAGTTTCTCCGCAGGCGATTCGAACGAGCTTGATAATGTGATACGTCCTGTTAAAAAGGTAAATCGATTCGACAGAACTTTATCTGTAGACTTTATCGATTGAAATTATGATAACGAGCGAGACTTCATCTTTTCATTATTTGTTTCTTTGTTAAAATGGTGTTTCTGCCATTGTTTCTGTTATTTCATGACTCGCGTGGAAAATGAATCTCACGGAATAATACGAATAATACGAATCGGTAAATTTTTGTCAATCATCTTTCTCCTATTGTTAAAAATGAAGGGGATATCGATTATTATACGAATTACGTGATTGTCTTTCGTATCAAATCGCGTGTAAAATTCCGAAATGCATATTCATATTAAAAATGTATTTCTCACATTTTTTGATACTTTTTTAAAAACGATTCATAAAATTGTGGCGCACAATAATCGAATACAAAGAAACGAATACAATTAGAATGATGAAATTGAAATACTGTTCAATCTAATTTTCCCAAAAAGAGAAAAAAGTAATTCTCGTAATAACTAATAAATTGGTCATCGATGACAATTGCAAGTTAAAATCTCGCACGAACCTCTCGTATCAGTTAATCCTATTAAGCGGAAAATTTTCCATGAACAAACATCAATGCACGTAGTAGTCTCACAGTAATACCATAAATGTTGCATTAATGTTCGAATTAGGTGTACACGCTTGCCGCGCCGGAAAAGCCGTTCATCGAAGTGAACAAAGAGGAGCTACCGATCACACGTTACAAATTAGTCGAAGCACCTGTTAAGAGAGCCGGATCGGATGATGTCATCATGGTCCCGGAGTTGAACCGCAGAATGGTGAAAATCGATAGGAACAACAAAGGTGAAGTGATCTTGGAGCTTCGCGTTATCGCTAATCATGATTCTGTTTAAAGAATTTATCAAGAATATACGGACGAAAGTAACTACTAATATGACGTGATAAAAAGATTAATTTTCCTCACTGGAAAGATTAAAAGATAAAAGACTTTATATCGCTGATAACTTTAGGGTAAATAGTTTTATATTTTTACAATGTTCAATGTAGAATTTGAGTTGTTATAAAAGTTATTAGTAAAAGAATTAATGTAACCATTGCCGAAATTCTTCAAATTTCAGACAGTTGGAAATTATCCGATAATATCTGCTCTCTCTAGAATTTTCATAAAAACGCAAAAAGTTGAAATAAATACAGACAACGAAAGAAAGAAAGGATCAACCACTGAAAAATGTCACGAGAAAAAACTTTCTCCACCGAATCGCTCTTTGCAAATCGACATTGGATACGTATCTTCGTCTATCTAATCGGCCGCAAACACGTCGGCGAACTTTTCCATTCAGCCTTTGCAAATGAGTCCGCAGATCGATATCTCTCGTCAGATTTGCCCTCGTCCCTAAAAGCCACGTATCTCTTGTCGTTCTGCGCGTACATATCGGGGACTCGGTTCCCCTAATTGTGCTCTGTCAACGGCCGCGTCAAAGAGAGTTCGTATCGACAACGATAGACAGAGAGACGAAACCGGGAAACAGTATCTCGATCGACGAAGGAGAACTTTACATAGAAGTTTATTAGTCAAATAATGTGGAGAGACCGATGGTGGGGGGGGGGGGTAGAGGATGTGACCATATCCGGCTGAATATGACGTTCCTCTTCTATATGCGTTTCTTCGAGGGTACTCTCGATTATAACGAGTGCCGGATTGCATTCAGAAAGGTGAAAAAAGCTGCATGCGCCGCGGACTGCATCACCCTTCCTTCTTCTGTTTCACTCTAGAAGATCGACCTCGAGCGCGACGAGCATTCAGACCCTTCGTACCATATACGGTGCTCGTGAAAATGTATCTTTATGTCCGTGGGGCTGGATGTAACTTACGATCGTAAGTTCGTACCGTGGATCTGGAGTAGAGGATACATTTTTGTTGTTTTATTGACCCTTTTCTTTCGTCCTTTTTGCAATTTAGTAATCTGTTTTTTTGACAATTGTTAGATTTGATTTTATAACTGTAGTGAAAACAAACGGTAATATTTGATTGAAACAGTTTTTATCTGCCACAGAATAAGAATTAATATTAAAGTATGAGATGGTTTACTATAGTTACCAGAACAATATGAATTTGTTTCACGTGATTGAATCGCATTACTTTTATTACGTTCAATATACAGATCGAATGATTTCTATTAATACATATAGATACAATAGAACGCTACTATAATATGTACACCGCATATCACATACAGTTGAATTCGGAGCGGAGCGTTTCCGGCCCACGAGGGATCTCTAAGATCCTCTATCTCCACGCCAGAAAATGACTCTTTCGAGTCGAGTCTCGAGTGTAAGATAGAAAGAGTCTTCAAAGAACGACAGACACAGTGATATAGATATTGCTGAATGAAAAACTCAGTGTGTCTGGAAAGTGTTGTGATTAAACTGTGATATTAAAAAATGTCGCAAGTTTCACGCTGTTTGATTGCGCATCGAGCATGAATCAATCAACAGAGTATGTATGTTGCCTCGTTTTGTCAGATTAGAGCAGCACATTCATGTTTATCATTTACGCAATAGATAGCACCGATGAAAGTTCGAGGCTGCTAATTTTTCAAATGTATCGTCTCTAAATGTGCAAAGTTTCTAAATATTCACGTCGAACAGAAATAAGGGGGTAAAAGATCGAACGAACATTGTCGAGAATATCTCAGAAAAATAGCAAGATATTCCATTTTTCTTTTTCGCTGCTATCATTCTTTGACATCGTGACGCGAAAAGAATATTAATATATTACCAACCTAAATCATTTATATTTAATCGAAAAAGATTTCTAGAAGGAAGCTTCTAAAAAATGTCGGACTTGAAAGTAAAATTCACTTCAAGTAGAATTTAATTGAAAACATTTTTTCACGTAAGAATATATTATTAAATGTATAGTGGGATTACTTGTCAAGTTGGCAACCTTTTAAATGTGATCGTTCCACAACGATTCAAAGAAGTAAAACTTGTGTGTTTAAAGATTCTATATGAACGACGTAGTGGAGTGAAAACCAGCCGAGATTGTAAGTGTCGGAGCTACATCTATTTATACAGGCAAGAACGAAAGAAAATCGTTCGATTTTCACGAGTTATTCGGTTACTTGCGAAGTCTGCTCGTTCGAGGCATCTCCCTTCGGCTCTTTCACATAATCCACCACCAGTTCCAACCCTATCAACGCCCGAAGATCCTTCCTCTCTTCTTCCGGGCTCGTGGACGCAACCGAGATATCTTCCGATTTTGGAGATCTTTCGTCTGCGTTTTGTAACACAAAAAATGTAATTAATTAATTAAAGGTGCGTCTATATGAAGAATCAACATTATATAAATAGCATATATTACGAACATTTTTATAATTTTTCACAGGCAAACATTTCAAGGTTTATTTGATAGAATATTTTTTCTGTAGTGTACTGTTGCTTCATGTGGAATTATCAAGTTGATCGTTTGACTGTAAAATAGCAATAGTTCTTTCTTAGAGAGAGAGAGAGTCGTAATTTTAATTTTAATCTGCGTACATAAACGAAAATCATTCCAAAAGATTCTCGATCACGCTACACTATCGTAACACCGTACTAAAACACAGATTATTTCAAATTACGTCATTATGACGGGAAGTAATGTCGTGGAAACAGGGATCATGCAATAAGCAATTATAAAAAAATCAACACCCACTGTTATCAACGTCCTTCGAACTGTCCTCGCTCTCGCCGGAGGTGGATGTTTCGCTCCTGGTTGCCTTTCGTGCCTGGCTGATGTCCCTGTACGTCCTGGTCAAGTGTCTCAGAATGTAATTAGTGCCACGTAGATTTTCCTCGCTACTCCTCGACGTGCATGCCTCGTCTCTCGTCAGATTCAACGGTCGATTGCTGTTGTATTCCTTCGACTGCGGCACGCTGAAAGCGGAGCAGTGCTTGCCTTTGAAGGGTAGCTGCCTCTCGCTCAACTTGCGATCCCAGATGTGACCGGAAACGCGAAGATCGATGAAAAAGTGCAGGGGATCGATGCCGGGATAGGACTGGGGCATTGGATAAGGCGGGTACCAAAGCGGGCTGGGAAGGAATTCCGGGTTGGTGACGTTTCCGGGCAGACCGAATCCTTTCACGCCCGGAAGCATGTCGCAGCCCCTCCCTGGAAGGCTGGGCAGAAAATTCCTGGAGAAATCGAGCTTCTTCTGATCGGGCAACAGCGGCGGTAGCTCTTGATTCCCAATCGCGCTCTTCGTGCGATCGTCGTACGGGCTTCTGTCGTTGTAATTGCAATTCTTACGGTCGCTGGAGTGAGACTCCTCCGGTTTGACCTTCTGCAACTCGCTGGAGAATATGTTCTCCGGTGGTTGGGCTTGCTCGAAATGACGTGGCCGCTCATCGAAGAAGCTCTTGCTCTGTTTGCTGAACTCTGATTTATTTTCGTCCACCGGCTTCAGAATGTCCGCACCGAAGCTTGGCTTCTGCTCGAAGTTGCCCACTTTGTTCGCAGGATCGTAGCCGTCGCTCTGTTTGCCGCCGTTCTCCAGCCGCGTCTCCGCCTGCTGCGGCTGCTGTTGAGCGTGGAAATATTTGTCCGGCGGCTGTTGCTGTTGTTGCTGCTGCGAGTGATGATGATGGTGATGATGATGCTGCCTTTCTTTCGTGGTCAGTTCCAACGGGCGATCGCGAGCGTCTCGCCAGGATCTCTTGCGACGTCGGGGCGCGCTCGTCGTGTTACTCGCCGACGATACATCCGTTTTCGCTTGCACGAACGAACGCAACATTTCGCTGAAGAAGAAGCTGTGCGGCGTTAAGGGCACGTTGTACAAGTACGGAGGAGTCGCTGCTAAAAGTCGGGAGACCAGATCGCCGCCGGAGAGCGAGGCTGGACTCTTGAGAGTCGATGGATCACCTGTGGTCGTTGTCATGTTGCTGGCTTTCGAGGACGATCGCTGGAGAAGTCGTGAGGCGTTAGAAAGAAGTAGATAGTAAATTTTTGTGATTTAAGTATTTCGTGGACCACGTTTATGAAGAAATTTCGGTATAGAAATTGCTATCAAGAAATTGCTTGAAGAAATCCTCAATGGAAGAATCGTCGTAGACTGTTTAATATACGTGACATTGAGATCATATATGATTTCTAGAATCCAAATCTTCCGTTTTGAAATTCTCAACAATTATTCTTCATCAAACTGATATATTTCCCCTGCCTAGATGACCTGATTCAATGATTGGTAGACATATATTCTGATTTCCGACATGTCTAACATAATTAGCATCAATGTTCCAAAAGTAGCCTTGATCTTTTTCACGTTTTACAGAATGAAACAAATTGAAGCGAACGATGACAAACGAATATAGCGAATGCAGATGCAGCGGTAACATACAATAGGGAGCTCGCGACGGATTTGGCGGTTCTAATGTTGAACTGAATCTTGGAATATCACGCGCGTCTGTTTGGTTCCCAGCAATAATCGAACGCGTGGAAGATGGCCGTAGGTAAGTACGTAGAATCGTCGGAGCGGAGGCGCGCTACTATTGTCTTCTGAAATTAATTGAATATCCGCCGTTGTTAAGTCTAAGAGCGCCAGACAACGCCTATGGCTGGCTAAGGGGGATGAGTAATACCAGGCTTGCGTCGCATCATCCATTAAGGATTACTAATTTCTGTCAAGTGCACGTTCGGTTTCGCGCGGCGAACGTCTTGCGAGGAATCCACCAGGAATCCCCGTGAAATCGTTAATGAGAATCTACGATCGTAGGTATTTCAATTAAACTTCGTGCCACACTCGTACGAGCAATCGCACCACGAACAATTAGTAATTAGTAAGGGAGCGTTCCTCATATCCGACGGATCTTCGTGATTGATAGATTGTAGTTATAATTTCATTTATTTGCATCTGGTTTAATTCTCTCTCATGTTTTCGGAATTTTCTTGGGATTGAGAAATTTCTGTTCCTTTTTTTTTTTTTTTTTAATTTAATTTTTAAGGTTAACCTCGGTGTATCGCGTCTTGAATTTTTAATCGTTTATTTTACGACGATGTTTAATAGATAAATATTGAATTTATTTCTAAAACAATTTTGAGCATTTGCTATCGAATAATTCTCATTATGCTTGCAGCTTCGGTAACATTTTAATTGTCAGTTTTATATTACTTTATCTTTACGCTTAAATTCCAATGCTAATTATTGCTGTCAATTATTTTAAAAATATCGTAAGCAATTGTTC